TAATTTATCCATAATAGTTAAAAGGGACATTTACATACAAGCCCTAATTTAGGAATTTATACTCCATTAAGTTCTAACTAAGATTTTTTAAACCTTCAAGTCCCATTAAATTTTTAATAATCGGAATTGCTTTTCAAATAAAAATTGTTTATAATTTATGATTATTTATAAATGAATATAATAATTTGACACTTATTTTGATTTTCAAAACTTTAAAACATTAACTTTTAAATTGAAAAAATTAAAAAAAATTACGTGCAAAAAAAAAAAAAAAAAACTAAATGTTTTTTTTAAATTTAAAAAACTGAATTATTTTTTGTGCAAAACTGACAATTTTGTGTTTATAAAAGATCATGATGATGGAACATTGATGAGCAAAACTGAAAAAAAAATTAAAAAGAAAAAAACTAATTTTAAAACTAAAAAAAATTGATAGTGTTCTAAATTTTATTGGATAGTTAAATCAAACCAATAAGTACAAGAACAAAAACGTTTAATCTCATACTCTGTTTTTTTATCAGTTAGTGAAATAACTATCTGGAACACTACTATTCAAAATTGATAATGTTCTTAGATTTAAAATTAGGAAAAACTGTTAATATTCTTAATTTTACTAAATAGGATTTATTAGTTTAAAAATCTTAAAATAAGACCTGAGCTCTAATACTTGTAAATAAGATTTTTAGATAATTATCTCTCATTAAAAATTTAGTAATCACTATGAGGGTTGTTAAATATCTCTGCCATTCTAGTTTGGACCTTTTTTTTTTAAATTTAATTTTATTAAGATTTTGTCATCACATAAAATTTTAATTTTGTCCCTATCCCTGTCCTTCCATGTCTATCACTAACCCTAATCCCACCATCACTTCCATTCTTAACGACACACTCCGACGACCTCAATCATCACGATGCTCATACTCATCAACAACTTAGATCTTTATCTTCATTGGAGGGCAACCCAGATCCTATCACATCACTATCACCATCGACATCACCACCACCAACTTCGATGCGAAAACCCTCTTAGATTCAAATCTCGCTCGACCACCCTCAAACTAGACCCGACCCCGACCCGACTCATCATATTTTAAATGGTTCTGATAGTATGGGCGAACAGATGCAGATACATTTTTTTCAAATCAACTTATGTTCGGACGGATAACAGATAAGAGGCTACCAGACCCAATCGGATCTACCAACCCTCCTTAAGAAAATGATATTAGATTTTTATGCTTTGTATGTTAAAAAAAAAAATTATTTAGTAATAATATTAATTATTAATGGAAATATGAAAGTTTGGTTTATTTTAATTATAAAAAATGAATAATCTTGTTGTGTTTGATAGAGTTTTAGAATTATGATTTGAGAATAGTATTTTGAGTTTGTGAGTTTTGCAATTATGATTTGAAAAGAGAAAATTTGTTGGTTATGAGTGTTGAAAAGATTTTTGAATTTTTAATGTGACATGTGAATTGAGAAAATTTGTTTGATTATGAATTTTAAAAAGAATTTTCAGAACTTAATTCAAAAAGTTATAACATATAACCAAACGCACAGCTCAAAACTCCATTGCAAATTCTATTCAAAACTCATAATCAAACTCTTTTTAACATTCAATTCAAAAAAATAAGTTATCATTTTGGTGTAAAAAAAATAAATTCTATTTTTAAAAAATGTCTTTTTTTTTTTTTTTTAAAACAACAAGTGGCGATTGGTAATTGCAAAAAAAAAAATAAAAAAATACACTGTTTCGGTCAACCGGCTGAACGATCGGCCAAACGTCCAAAGGGATGATCGGGTAGACACAAAATTCAAAAACTCCCTTGCTTTTTAGAATGGCGAAGATGAAAGAGAGAAATATTCCAATCGTGAAAGAGAATTATATTTTGAAACAAAGGGGCAAATGGAAGGATGAAATTATAATTTGAGAGTTTCAGTAAACAAAACCTAAAATTTTAGACTCAAATCTGGTCGAAAATAGTAAAAAATTATTCTAAAATAGTTTAAGAAAAGGCATAAAATACTTAAAGCCAAACCACTAAATCAACTTGCATCTATCTACGAATAAGAGACCACTCGATCAAACCTGACCCTCGATCATCCCTTACATGGTCTAAAAGTCCTACATTGCAAAGTCATCAAGATAATGACAAAAAAGAAGACATTAAAGGCGTGTGTAATAAAAAAGGTTTTTGTAAATGTGGATTTCAAACACGATTTTGACGCCATTAACTAAAATTAAGCGCTACAAAGGATCTGAGGTCACACATTGTGGTCCCAAGTTCTAGTAATAATAATGGATTGTGAGAAAATTATTAAGTATTTTCGGAATACCATATATTCATACTCTTTTACCAATCATCATGTATTATATTCATTTATATTTCTTAATCACTCAACACAAAATTATAATATTACTTTTTACCAATCATAATATTATAAAATACTACGTAACTGTATTTCCGAAATACTCAATAATTACTAGATTGTAATCCTTTTCATTCTAAAATTGTAATGAAAGATCTTCATTCTATCACACCCATACAATGGAGAGGATTTCAGTACAATAATAATTAATTTTATATTTGTTGTATTCATTCATTCATTTGTAAGACCAGACTATTTTGTTTCTATCCCCCTAACTTTGCGTTAATTAGTTGAAAATGACTGCCCTTGGATTCAAAACTATCCTTTCTTGACCCTCGTTGCCAATTAATGAGGGAAAAGTACAAGAAATGAGAAGCGAATAAATTATTTATCAAAAAGTTGGGGGTACAACTTTTACTTCAATTTTTGAAAAGAGGCTCAAATATGAACCCATGAGCTGGATTGGATGGTCCAGTCTTGATCTCAAACATGTGACAAGTTGGAACCAGAAAAAAAAATATACAATAATATTATTTTTCACCAATTATAATATCATAAAATATTATGTTACTATACTTCTGAAATATTCAATAATTACTGGGTTGTAATCCTTTTCATTCTAAAATTGAAATGAAAGATCTCCATTCTATTACACCCATACAATCGAGAGGATTTCAGTCCAATAATAATCAATTTTATATTTGTCGTATTCATTCATTCATTCAGTTATAATTTTTTTTTATCCCCCTAACTTTACATTAATTAGTTGAAAATGGCTGTCCTTGTATTCAAAAGTATCCCTTTCTTGACCCTCATTGCCACTTAATGAGGGAAAATTACAAGACATGAGAAGCGAATAAATTATTTATCAAAAAGTTGGGGGTACAACTTTTACTTCAATTTTTTTGTACTGAAAAAATCATACCCTACATATTTGTAATTATTTTTAATCTTCTACATAGATTTGTAATTTCTCCAATTAATTAATCAATTAAAAGCAAAGAGGAAAAAGAACGTCACATATTACATTTTATTGTTAGCTCGTTTGGGAAGTAATTATTTTAATCCATCTTTTAATTTTTTAAAAAACATGTATAAAAAAATAATAAAAATGATGCAATTGAGTATTTTGATTTTTTAACTATTTCAATCAAAAAGCGATCACACGAAATAGAGACTTGGCACATGCTCTGCATACGAGAGCAGGAGAAAATGTGGACAATGCCTGAAATTCAACAAGGCTCCATTTGAGTGGATGCATTTCAAATGAGACAAATTTAAAGTTGAATTTTATAAAAATGTAAAAGATTATGTTATTGTTAGTAGGTTGAGAAACTAATGGAAAAAGTAAATTAAAAATAGGAAGAAAATATTTTATTAAGATCTGTTGAAAACTACAACTTGTATGAGGGATTTTAAATGAATAATTTTTACATTGAATTTGACCAAGCTTTCAAAATCAAATTAAAATTTTATATTTGTTATAAAATGAATAAAATGTAAAGCAGGTAAAAGCAAATAAAGTAATAAAATTTACACAAGATAAAGAGATAATTGAATTCTTCAAGAACTCTTATTTGGTTTTTTAGGAACCTTCAAATATAAATCTTCAAGATCTAATTATATTATTATTTTTAATGATTTAATTCTACATTTTAGTATAATTCTCACCATTTCTTTCTTTGTGTTCTGATATTACAAATGGATTGCATCTCCTTTTATAGACAAATACATTTACAGATGGAATAGTAGGAAATAGCAAAAACATTTACTACACTATAAACCTAAATTTCTAATGGCTATCCCACAACATTAACTGTAATCATTCATGTCTCCTATACATGTTTCATAACAATATCTCAATTATTAAATTTAACTTTATATTCTTCTTACATAATGTAAGAGGAGCTAATTTAAGCCCACTAAATTATTTAGGCCCAATAGCCCAAGATTAGTGGGCCCGAATTTATCGCAAGTCCAAGATTGGTGGGAGAGAATTCGAAATTGTTCTTCAAGGATCTTCGAAGATCTTCGAATTTTCCAACTCCTTTCTTGAACCCTCTCCTACACATAAATAGTGTGTCAAATTCTTTCCTTCCAAATTCACAAACCCACAACGTAAAATTCAATCAAGATCAGACTTCAAAGGTCATAGATGGCTTCTTAGTACCTTGCAGATGGTTGATGAGTAACCAAAACTACACAGTTTTCATTCCATATAAATAAAATTCAGCCAAACAAGGTACGAAATATCCAAGAGTCGTGTCAGTCCCCTTCAAGCATGTGGCTAGAGTTCGATTTTGTTAAGTGGATTAACAAAGACACAGGCTTGTCTCTAGTCTAAAATCGGACTAGAACGTGCTGTTAAGCTCTATCAGCTCTCTACAAAAATCAAATCCGAACCGTTCAATATGTAATACTCAACTGCTTTAAACACCATTAAAGCAGTAGATTTAAATGAACGAATCAATCAAAATAAGGATTTTGTTTACTCACAACAAAATTATTTTTGGTAGTGGGCATCTAAAGGCGCAAGAGGTCAGGAGTTCAAGCACAGGAAGCGACTACATACTATCACCAAAAAAATTAACGTCACATGTTTATAGGTAAAGTGCTCGATGACAATGCAATTTGAAAGAAAATGACAGTTGCCTAATAGCAACAATAGAAATCACGTGTCTTGCTATTGCAAAATATAAAACATGGTATATAACAACTGACGACAAAAGTATTGGAATGAAATAACAAGCATACAATGATCCTCATCCCTCTCAATCCATATACACCAAACCTGGCAAGTGCAAATCACAACAGTTTTTATTTGACAATGCGATAACTAAAACCACGCAATGTTTGTTTTTCCTGCAAATGGATGATGATTTGGAGCATGGAACAATTGGGGTTTACCCAGACCATCCTCTCTGAGAACCCCCAGCAGAAGAATGCCCATTTAACCTGTCAAGCACGGTATTGAAGTCAACAGGTTGGCCACTCTCCTCTAGCCTCTGAATCACGCTGGCCACATGATCACCCCTGTAACCCATGCTCACCAATTTATCAATCAGTTCATTGTAGGGATGGTTGCGCATGAATTGAGGTGGACGGCCCATAAGATTAGGGCCAGCATTCGGCTGTGGACCCTGAAGTGGAACACTTGTCGGAGGATAGCCACTGCCTTGAGGAAAATGAGGGGGTTGTTGAGAAGGGGGAGGAGGATGTGCCCTTCCAGCTTCTCCTTCATACATCATATAAGCATTCCCCGGAGAGAGGGTAGGGTGGGGTCCAGAAGTCGTGTATCCATCGTTGGGCTGTACTCCAAAACTGCTCTTGAGCTGCTGAGGTGGAGGCTGCTGTTGCTGCTGCTGAACTGTTCTACCGGGCCCACCGTATCCGTAAGGCATTGGTTCGACATGGCTTCCTGAATAGGACACTTGCATTGGCATGCTGTTTGGGAGCGTCTCTGGTGGGGACGGGTTTGCAGGTTGACTTGGTAGGTAAGGAGGGTATGTTGTTGACATGGGCCTAATCTGGGGTTGTTGCATAGATGACTGTGGTGGTGGTGTCACCTGCTGGGCCCACTGCTGCTGATACTGAGGTAACTGGTGCACCTGTGGTGCCTGATTCACTTGAGTTTGTGCTGGCTGCGGTGCTACCCTTGACATGTCCTGCATTTGGGGAGTTCGATATGGAGAATCGGATGGTAGATATTGAGTCTGAGATAGCTGGGCTGGACCCGGTGGATTTTGAATCTGGGCTGAAGGTAAATAATATGCCTGTGATTGGCTCACACTCTGTGGTGGAGGTGGTGGCATAGGCTGCTGTTGCTCCACAGGTCTGGTCGGGAGTGGTGGCTGTGGGGCAACTTGATGGGGTAGGGCAAGAGCTAATTGCATGTCTGGTGTGTTATCAGTCCTTTTGGGATCAGAAGCTGGTGGTGTAGCCCTGTCCTCGTTCTGCTGGGAGTGGCTCACAGAAGTGGATTCTTTTTGCGCAAGCTGAAGCTTGGCAAGTTCTTTCTGTGCTTCAGCAAGTTCTTGCTTGTCTCTTAGGATCTGCACTGACCTGTGGACCTGCAGTGCACACCATACAAAGGGTATACTGATTGCTTCAATCACTTGCAGAAGTGAACAAACGTAAGATAAATGCACATGTTGAAATAGAAACATATAACAAAAGCAAGTCAAGAAGGATCAGTGCAGGTGAAAGTACAATTATACACAGCAGAGCAGGCTCTCTTCGTATCACCATACTTGTATTGCACCAGGCTCAGAAACAAAGGCTTTCCATTTGTTCTACCAAAAACAGAAGAGGATGACAAATAAAAAGACTCCCCACTGTTTTATTTTTAAAATATATAAAAGCCCTCCTACTATCATGTGCCTTCAAATCCCAGAAAACTACTACAAACAGTACAAGGGCACTTGTTAAATAAAGAAAATGGAGGTTCCAATTTTTAAAGATACATTTATGGCATCCCCTATGTTCGACCTCAAACCCAAGATATCCTGCAATTGAGATACAAGTAGCTGCTTCTATCCTTCCACTCAGTTATTTCCAAGACTTTTGAGAAATGCAGATAGAGATTCAGAAACTCTATCACAAAACTAATTTACCAATGCCAAACAGCATGCATATTAAGGCTCGAGCATCAATTCATCACCTCCAGGAAGTGTTTTCCTAGTGTTGCCTGAATATATCATTGCCACGGTAGTTCCTTAATGCTGTATTTAGTTGGGGGATTTGGAAAAGGAAAGGGAAAAGGTGTAAAACTATGTGAAATGTAAGTATATTTTATTCACATTTCACCTACATTTTCCATTTTCCTTTCCAAATCTCCCAACCAAACACAGTGTAAAGGGCCAAATTTTATTTCTACTAACAACAATAAAAATCAATGCATGATCTAGAAAAAAAAGGGGAGGAAAAAAAAAAAAGTGCACTTGTGGAAAGTTGAACTCACCTCTTGGAGATGCTTGTCAAGAGATTTAAGCTTGAGATCTGCCTCCCCGTGATCACGCACTAAATCAGAACGCATTTCTCCTATGGATTTATCAAGATTGTAGCAATACAATTCCAACTGCGACAGACGTGAACTAATTCCTTCAAGAAAGCGCATGAGATTGTCAGTATATTTCTTCATGGACTTTTCAACGGTAGAGATCACTTCTTCGTTAAAAGAATCCCCTGGTGGACCATAGGCAGGAGCAGGGAACATTGATGATCTTGCCATCCTGCTTTTGTGGAATTCCTGCTCAAACAAAAAAACGTAGCATTGTCAAGCTGCCAAATACAATTGAAATTCCATATAAACAAAAAAAAAAACACAACAATTTTTGTGATGTCAATGGCATTGATAATGAATTGAAAACAGGAAAAGAGGTAGAAAAATACAGGAAAAGATGTAGAAAAATACAGGAAAAGATGTAGAAAAATACACGAAGAAAGTAAATTGCTTTGACATCTGGAAATGACTTCTGTTTAGTTCCCAACAATTTTGGAATGAGGGAAAGACCTTTCTAGCAAAATATGAGCTTTCTGAAATTCTAAAAGAGTATCATGCTGGTTTTAATATCCTCGCTAAACAACTAATTTGCCTGATGAACTGACAACTGTACCAGGAATGGAGATTCATATGGCAAATTAGGAAATAACAATCCTGGAAAGAAATCAAAGCAATTAAAAGGCTACAAATATTTTGAACATCAAAGAAATGACAAAATATGTGATTTTAGGTTAGCCATAAATTAGCAGTTGGTATCTTGGTCCTAACAACTACACTAATCTTCATATACGGTAGCATAACTTTTGCTGCCTTGAGTACAGGTGAAATATCCAAACAAAGGTCAATGAGTTGTCCCACAAAAGAAAAGATTTAACTTCTTAATACATCAATAGACTAGATTTTTCATTCACCTAAACAAATTTAGGACTACCTTGAGAAATAAAGCCTCCCCCTCACAAGGGTAGATTAAAGCACTAAACAAGGATCTGCACCCAAATGGGTTATCAGGGTCAGGATTATATTGAAGGCATGTGATATTTTGCAAGTAGTGGGTAATTTTGCAAGGATTGTCTTTGAATACAAATCCAATGAAAAGTTCAAATGTCTAAGGGTAGAGTCAATGAAGTTTGGTTCCAATTAAAACTTTCATGAATCAATTCTTACAGTTCGTCCGGATTGGGTGATTTGGGAAGGGGAAAAAAAAAGAAAAAGAAATGCATTTTTCTCACCTGTTTGTATTAGTAAAAGGAGTGAAATGGGAATAAATAAAAAGAAATCCATTTCTCTCACAACCGTTATTTTGACCCCTCCAAAAGTGGAGAGATTGGGAGAGAGAAGAAACTAACAAATTATAATTTTTTATAATACCAAAATTGTCCCTTTAGATATAGAAGAAATAAAAAAAAGACACCTATAAAAGGTTATTTTGGTAATATAACATCAAATAATTTGTTATCTTTTCTTTTATGTAGTTTAACCAAGCAAGACAGTAGAGAAATCATTATCATTATCATTTTTTTTCTTTTCTTTTCTCTCCTTTTATCCAAACAAGAGGGAGAGAAACACAATCTTTTCTCTTCTCTACTAAGTTCCCAAACAAAGTGTTAAAAGAGTTGTATGCCAAGAGGACAAAAATAAAATAAAATAAAACATAGGTAATAGTTTAAGATAATTGTTCGGTGCTCTCTCCAAATCCACATTAAACTAGAGAATAAAAGAAACAACGTGAATACACAACTACATGCATAGACCACAACCGATAAAGATTATAAAATTAAGTGGGACGCCCATTTATATATTATTATCTAAAGGATATATTATTATCTAAAGGACTCATTTGGTACCAAACCAGAACTACTAAACAAAGAGTTAATTAGAGCCCAATCACTCGTCCGACAAAAAAATAAGAAACCAATCACTCTAATAGCGTAGGCAAATCACCCTATCATAGTCATAGTTGTCAAATCAAAAGTCGTATTGTGAATCAAAATCCTAATTTTACAAATCGTGAATTGAATCAAATCGAGACTAGTAAGATTCAACATAAACTACAAAAAAATGATGTTATTATGAAATAAAATAAAACAAATTAGTTTTGACACATATTATACAATAATTTTTATATATGGACAAGGTTATCTCGTCTCTAAGTTAAATCAAGTCTATCGATCTGTGTAAAAATCAAATATGAAACTTTATAAGTGGAAAGACATTTGCCTTCATCCCAAGAGATGTAGGTCCAAATCTTAATCAGAATAAATTCTTAAAAAATCATAGTCATCCAAAAAATTACCTAGAAACCTAGGGTAAAATAAGAAAAGAGACTGGGTAGAAACCCTTTACTTTAAACATAAAAAAGTGGCTTGTATACTTAATGTTCAAAAACAGGAGGGAAAAAAAAAGAGTAGTGAAATTGTTGAGTCCAACTGATTTGATCTGTATTAAATTAAACTATATTTATTTTACCAAAATAACAATAGAAAATTTATAAGTACAAGATATTTTAGCCTTGAACATTTTTAGAATATCTATTTTGACATTTTTTCTCATAAAAATAAGAAAAATGGTTAAAAACATGTTAATCATTTTCATACTAAACACTTTTAGCAGTTGTATTCTAGAATTTTCACAAAAAGAGGTAAAAAAAGGGTTCGAAATGTGTCAAATCCAACAATTTTAATAATCACATGAATCATGAATTGAATCGCGAATCCACCACTAATTCGATTAATCTATTCATGAATCGTGAATCGAAATATCACTACAAGAAATTAAGGTTTTAGAGATAAAAATTTAGGGAAAATCATTTTTTAGGGACGATATTTTTGTTACCAAAAGTGTTGTTATTTTATTTTTAGCAACAAAATTGGATATTTACTGATGAATTATTAACCGTTTGGGATCCCGAGTTTTGTCTCAAAAAGTAAACCTTTTTGGAACCAAGTTATTTTGTCTCTAAAAGTGCATTTATTAGTGACATTTTCAAAATTGTCCCTAAAAGTTTATTTTTTGACTTTCTAGGGACAATCTTTTAGGGATTGTCCTCACGACAACTGAAATTAGTCCCTAAATATTTTTTGCAACAAAATTTATACTTTTTAGACAAAAAAACCTGTCTCTAAAACTCTTATATGTTGTAGTGCATCATGAATGCTATGATCCTACTTTTTAGCAGAAAGTAGAGTTTATCTAAACTGTTAACTTAATTTGCTCTGCCCCTGCCCCTAGTATGACCCTCTCTCCGCCCTACGCGGGTTTTCCCCGTTGGATAAGAAAATGGAGATGGGAGGAGGCTTGCTTCCCCTACCCTAATTATATTACTTAAATACTTTTATACGTGTATATATATAATTTATTTCATTTGTTGAATATAATAAGATAAAAATACCAAAAATATTAACACATCATATCATCTTTAATATTTTAAACTCCCAGAACTCATCAATTGTTGTCCCTTATATGCCCAATCATCTCTCAGATTAGTATCATCCTATCCTAAAGGTGAGAAAATAATCCAATACCTCCCCAGAGCCTCCTTAAATTTCCCACCCGTCAAGGGACATGATGGGGCAATACACCACAAACCTAGCCCCATCCTACATTACCCCATTGCCATTTCTTGTCAAGATGTCTCCCTAGTCTTCCCCAGTGAATCTATGGTATATTTAAACCTATGAGTGTCCAATATTTAAGCCTACGTGGGTTTTCCCCATCGGATAAGAAAATGGAGATGGGAGGAGGCTTGCTTCCCCTACCTTAATTATATTACTTAAATACTTTTATGTGTGTATATATAAAATTTATTTCATTTGTTGAATATAATAAGATAAAAGTACCAAAAATATTAACACATCATATCATCTTTAATATTTTAAACTTCTAGAACTCATCAATTGTTGTCCCTCATATGCCCAATCATCTCTCAGATTAGTATCGCGCTATCCTAAAGGTGAGAAGATACTCCAATACCTCCCTAGAGCCTCCTTATTTTTTCCCACCCGTCAAGGAACATGATGGGGCAATACACCACAAACCTAGCCCCACCCTACATTACCCCATTGCCATTTCTTGTCGAGATGTCTCCCTAGTCTTCCCTAGTGAATCTATGGCATATTTAAACCTATGAGTGTCCAATATAATTGCTAAAATGTTAAGTCACAATGTGAAATATACCAGAAGGAAGGAGCAATACAAATACAGCGCAAGAAAATGTTTAATCCAGAATCTTATAAAAGAGGGCTTCTACATTCAAAATTCCAAGTAATTCCTATACAAAAAAGAGATCTAGCCCTTCAAAGGAGGCCTAATAGCATACATATGTAATCAGATGCCATTCACCTTGTTCCAAAGGAAAAGAATCTGTAGGATTGCTTTGAATTATGTTCTAACCAATTTTAAGATCAACAAACCTTTCAATGATAGAAGTATATCACATGTGACATAACAATATCTACTTTATCTTACCATCTTCGCCTCCATTACCTTGTAAGCCTGTGTCATTCTTTCTTCTTGTAACCACTTCAGTTCATCTAAATACTATAAATGCAAGGTTCATGTTTTCTGCAATTTCAATACAATACCTGTCCATATATTCATCAATTCATCCATGTAACTTAAGGGTGAAAGAATACCAAATTTTATCCACTCAAACACAGCTCCGATCGATACAAAACCCATTTTCCATGGGATGGTGTTGGAAACATATAATTTTTTTTCTTTAACAAGAGCTTTTGCAATTAAAGTAAATAAAACAGAAGGTTTAATTTCTTCAATCGACAAGCAACTCGATCACAGCCATACATGCTCTCTTCCTCACTGGGCTGCATCAACACCCATCCCTTGACTCTAATTCTCATGAATCGGCTAGAACCTCTATTCAGCATGAAAACTGGAGCACCACGGCATGTGACGCATACCCCAAGGCACAAAGCAGAAGTTCAAACCCTAAAACCTTGAACTTGAAATCACAGAAATAAAAGCCCCCGACAACTAAAGCATTTAATTCTCATTCCAATCAGGGTAACAGAGACTCCTCAGAATTTCAAATTATTCAACAAAGCGAACAACACAAATTTCACATAAGACCACTGATTCATATTTTACAAAAATTAAGCATTTCAAAACCCTAAACGCACAATCACACAATTCGACTAGAAATGAAACCAGTAGCTACTATATTAAGTAACCATACCTTGGCGGAATTGGAACCGATTACGGGATCGGAGTGAGTGCCATTAGAGCTGTCCTGATTGCCGTAGTCCTCGTACGAGCAGAGAATATCATCGGTGGCGAAATCGAACCCTTTTGAAGCAGAGTTGTTATGGCCCGACGATCCAGAAGCCATGGGCAGAGATCGAAGGTTTGAGCTTCGTCCGAGGAGATCGAAGGGGAGCGAGAGAGAGATAGATCTAGGGTTTGCAGAGAGAAGGAAGAAAAGGTTGGTTTCTAGAGAGAGAGAGAGAGAGAGAGAGAGAGTTGCTTGGGTAATAAGTCTGCAAAATCAAATTTTGATTTCACACAAAAACAATGTGCTGGGAAACGTTTAAAATGAATGAATGAGGAGGCGATTGGACTCGTCAGATAAGGATAATAATCTGATGATGACTCATCAATCCTCAACCGACTTTACGTATTATATTCTTATATTCTTTGCGAAAAAATTTACAATGTCCATCTTTTTACAATGTCCATCTTTTTAAATAATTTATATTATAAAAAAATTATCATTTTTATTATGAATATTATAATTGTTTGTAATGTGTATTATGACATGTATCTTAAAATTAAGAATAATAATATTATGATATTTTGTAATTTTTATTATGATATTATGAGATTTTGTTATGAGTTTTTTTAATAAAAAAATTATAATATTTTAAACTTAAATTATAATATTTTGTGAAAAAATTATAAAAAACATCCTATATACACCTTTTAAAGGTACACATCATAATTCTTTGCTGAGATGTTCATTATAATGTAGGGTAAATTACATATATCCCCTCGAGGTTCAGTAAAATTATAGATATTTTCTTGAGGTTTGAGAAATTACAAATACCTCCTGAAGGTACTATTTGCATAACAAATTAGGAGGTAAATTGTTATGAAAATATAAACCTCAGAGGACAATTTGTTATGAAAATATAAATCTCAGGGGTATCTGTAATTTCCGAAACCTCAAAGGGTATCTGTAATTTAGCTAAATCTCGAGGGAGGTATATGTAATTTGCTCTATAATGTACTAAATAATGTTGGTTTTTGTGCAGACACAGAAAAATTATTGCCTTTGGTTTAGTTTTAGGTTTGTTTGGTTTAGTTTTAGAATTATAATTTGAATGTGAAAAAAATTTATTTGGTTATGAATTTTAAAAAGAATTTTGAAAGGAGTTTTGAATTTTTTTTTTTAATTTTGAATTTTGAAAAGAGTTTTGAATTGTATTTTGAATTTTAAGTTTTTGAATTTTGAGTTATATTTTAAATTTTTGGATTTATTTTTTTAAAATATTAAAAAATGTTTAAGAAAATTTTATTTTTCATTTTAAATATATAATTTTTATTTAAATATTTTAATTTTAAATATTTTATTTTATTTTGTAAATATTTTAATTTTAAATTTTAATATTTTAAACTCAAAACACAACTCCACACTAAAATCGTAACAAAAAACATAACTCAAAACTCAATTTTAAAATTATTTTCAAAACTCATAACCAAACACATAACTCGAAACTGCACACTACTTTCAAAACTCTACACTCAAATTGTAACCAACACATAAGCAAAAAATTAAAATATTTAAAAATACCCAAACTTAATGTTTCCCTCATTCACGAAATTGCCCAAAAATTTAAATGTAAAATTGCAAGCACATTGTGTTTTGCACCCACCGCTAGTGTATATATCAAATTTCTAGAGAAAAAAATAGGTTGCTTTTGGTTCTCTTTTGGAATTATAATTCCAATCAAAAAAAATTCAAAACTCTTTTCAAAATTCATAACCAAACACACAACTCAAAACTCTTTTCAAAATTTAAAACCAAACTCTTTTCAAAACTCTATTTAAAAAATAAAAAAAAATCAAAATTTTTTATTTGTTTTTTAAAATTATTTTTAGAATTATGATTTAAAAAAATAATTTTAAAAAATAAAATAAAAAATATTTTTTGAATTTATTCTTTTAAAATAGAGTTTTGAAAAAGTTTTGAATTGAGTTTTGAGTTGTGTGTTTGGTTATGAGTTTTGAAATTAATTTTTGAATTGAGTTTTGAGTAATTTTAAGTTGTTTGTTTGGTTATGAATTTTGCAAAGTGATTTAAAAATTTTGCCTTTGGAATCACATTTATTGATGATGAAATCTAGTGAAGAATATAATCAGCATCATCACGCGATTGCCATCTTAACTTATAGGGGTGTAGTTTATTTATAATATTCAGTGACTTATCTATCAAGTAGTTTGAATGTTGCAAAAATTCTATCCCAATCAATCTCCAATTGTTTAGGACTTTTATATCAATAAGCTTTTAACTCTTGATGAGTTTTGCATAGGGAGCTTTTTTGATAAATTCTCCTTCTAAGAATTTTATTCTATCCAAATCATATTGTTTTTTACTATTCCATTAGGTCCTATTTGAGGTAAGAAGACCAAAACACCCTCAATCTCTTCTATCCCCTATCAATGTTGATATTTAATGTTGATTGTCATTATATTTTGATAGTTTTCATGCATCATGATGTTGACTATCATTATATTTATATTAATTTGAAATGAAATTTTGTCATTGTGTTGTCAATTACATAATATGAATATTCACATCATGTAATTGAAATGAATATTCACATAATTATATTCACATTAATTTAAAATGAATTTTTGTCATTGTATTATTAATTACATGATGTGAATATTCATATTAAAACATACAAATGTGAACGTTCACATCACTATGTTAGATGAGATAGAATGTTCACATGAATGTTCACATTACTACATGTTATGAATAAGAATGTGTTGTCGATTAAAAATATAATGAACGTTATTTTAATGTGTTGTCAATTAAAAATAAGAAGGTTCACATGTTGTGAACGTTCACAGCACTACATTGGATGAGAGAGAATTTTTCGAAAATGTGTTGTGAACGTTCACATTAAATGAGAGAGAATGTTCACATTATTTTTAATGTGTTGTCAATTAAAAATATATTCCCATTATATAATAATATAAAATAATAACATGAATATTATTTAATTTGTGTATGAAATTTCTTATGCCTTGATCCTTTCCTTTCTCTCTTCCTCCAAAATTAAATATCAATATTAAATATAAGGGCATAAAAGTCTAAGAAAATAATATAAATCAAGAAAAAAGACTTTATGGAATAAAATTATAAATACATGGGACTAAAGGGGTTAAAAAATTCCTTTAGGGACTTATTGGGTTAGAATACTTCTAAATGAGATTTATCAATAAAAAACTCTTTTGCATAACATAAAACATTAATGCAATATTTGATAATGATTTGACAATTATAATACACGTGATAATTTCATAGGGGGATTTGGTCAAAACCCCATCATAATAAAACTTTAATACATTTAGAATAAGCATAAAAAATTTTTGTTGAAAAGTCCAACACATATCATTATTATCAAATTATTAAACTTTAAAATAATATAACTTTTGATGTAAATGTCGGTTTTTAATAAAATTAGTATTTTTAAAATTCTCTCATCAAGATCTATCAAATAAGATCTATGTTAACTATGAAATTATTAAAAAAATAAAATAAAATAAAATTATGATCGTCGAAATTGATGTAAACACTAACAGTAAAATGTTACTCTATTTAACAGTAACATGTTACTCTCTCTTACTGTGACATGTTATTCTGTTTAACAGTTACTTTGGTTGACAGTAACATGTTACATTGTCTTGCAGTAACATGTTATTCTGGCAATATTGTTAAAAAAAAAAAGAGATATTTTATTTTGTCCTTACTCAATTATGTGTTTTCTCCTTAAGGAGTTTATGAAACAAAACAAATTGGGCTGTCGTTTTTACCAAACAAGGGTCCAATGAAGGGGTTTTAACTAAATTTCCCTAATTCTCATAAATCCACCACGTGGCAATGTCGAAACCCATATAATTCTTGTGATTATTTTTATTTCCTTTTAATTGCCTCCAAACTTTCATTCTCTTTGAACCCAGTGAAGGAGTAGAAACTTTCTGTTGTTCTGATAACAATAGCTGTGTAATATTGCTTAGCTAGAACCATACATGGATACTAAGGCTTATTCTAAGCTTTCTGTTGTTATGATAAAAATAGCTATGTAATATTACCCAGCTAGAACCATACATGGGTGCTAGGGCTTATTCTAAAATGCCTAACCTTGTTAGGACTTATTCTAAAAATGCCTAGCCTTGTTAGGACTTATTCTGAAAATGCCTAACCTTGTTAAGACTTATTCATAGAATGTCTAATCTTGTTAGGACTTATTGTAAAGAGTGCCTAGCCAAGTTAGGAATTACCAAAATGCCAACTTGCTTCTTGGTGAACAAAATTTGCTATGTAAGGAATCTCACTGTTGAACAAACCACCAACTTGCTTTTTGCCGAGCAAAGCCCGCTCGATAAGGAATGCCAAAGTTGGACAAACCACCAACTTACTTTGCCGAGCAAAAGCTAGTTGGGCAAAAACCTTCTAGCTTACTTCACCAAGCAAAACCTGCTCAACAAAGATTTTCGAAGTTGGAAAAACCCTCCAATTTACTTCGTTGAGCAAAACCCACTCGACAAAAATTTTTGAAGTTGAAAAAACCCTTTAACTTACTTTGTCGAGCAAAATCCGCTTGACAAAGATTTTCGAAATTAGACAATCCTCTCAACCTACTTTCCTAAGCAAAATGCTGCTCGCCAAATATTTTCAAAGTTGGACAAATATTCGAACCTACTGTGCCGAGTAAAATGCCATTTGTCACAGATTTTCAAAGTTAGACAAACCTCCTAACCTACTTTGTCGAGCAAAATGTCGCTTGTGGGATGCCTCTGGGGTTACCAAGCCACCCAACAGTTCAAACTCCCAATCTCCTGATTTAATCTCACTAGTGCAATGTGAAACAAAAGATGAGAGTCTAAATCCAACAACTTTTGTAAGAAAACCATTTTATTGCAAAGATTTGTTGAAAATGGATTACATCACCAAATTTTAGAGTCGCTACCTAATTTTTTGGAAAAATTAGGAAACTCGTGGCTCGTGTTAAAAGCTAGTGTTTATCATAATCAAAGTGTCTTGGCTCGGAAACTCAGGTACGAGAGGAGAAGGTCATTAATTAAGCAACCCCACTCAGCCGATAAAAAATCGACCTCTACTGAGCCATGATGTAGTTTTTATAATTGATATATATATATATATATATTCATGTTTTGGTTATTATTAATACGAACATTACTATCTGAGGCAATCAAATATAGATTGTATCACCTATTTTGGCTATATTTTGATTTCATGCATTTTTGAAAGCCTT